TGAAAGTCAGAGTTACACAAAGAGAGGAGAGGCAGAGAGAGAGAGAGAGAGAGAGAGTGTCTTCCATCCGATGGCTCACTCCCCAATTGGCTGCCAGCGGCCGGAGTTGCGCTGATCCAAGGCCAGGAGCCAGGAGCTTCTTCCAGGTCTCCCACATGGGCGCAGGGGCCCAAGGACTTGGACCATCTTCTACTGCTTTCCCAGGCCATAGCAGAGAGCTGGATCAGAAGTGGAGCAGCCAGGTCTTGAACCGGCACCCATATGGGATGCTAACGCTTCACAGCCACAGCATTGACCCCCTTGTTGGGCTTTTTAAACCATAAAATTTGGGGCCGTCACCATGGTGTAGCAGGTAAAACCACTGCCTGCAGTGCCAGCATCCCATATGGACGCCAGTTCAAGTCCTGGCTGCTCCACTTCCAATCCAGCTCTCTCCTATGGCCTGGGAAAGCAGTGGAGGATGGCCCAGGTCCTTGGGCCCTTGCACCCACGTGGGAGACTGGAGGAGGCTCCTCCGGCCATTGTGGCCAATTGGGGAGTGAACCATCGGATGGACCTCTCTTTCTCCTCTCTCTGTGTAACTCTGACTTTCAAAACAAATAAAAAAAAAATTTGAGTAAACATTAATAAGACCAAAGACAAAGATCCAGTTGCAACAAAAAGATGGAAGACACAGAATACAGAAGGGGCGATACTAATTCGAGATTCCTGAGAAGGTAGAGGGCACTCAGGGAACATTTGCTCATATTCGATTCAAAAATGAATATGGGTAAAGAGTGGCAGGTGCTCTCATGTACCCCAGAAATCATTAAATAAGATAAACATACTATTGTATCTCTCAGTAAACCAAACTTAACACACACAAAAAAATCCATGATTAACAATATCAAAATTTTAAACAAACATGAGATCAGGTTTGGTCTAGACAGATTAGGACAAGAAAGCTAACAGTTTTCTTTTGAATTTTTTCCCTTTAAAGCAGGAGGTGAGGTTGTCTGGTGAGAGTAAGCAGGGAGGAAGATCCAAGGTTGGAGGTAAGAGGAGATGAAGTTTGCTGAAGGCAGGAAGGGAGAGAAACACTGGAGTTTCCGGGAGAGAGCGGCACCCAAGTCAGGCTGATGACCATTAGTTCGTTGTGGCACTGATCTGCCTGTTATGTGATCTCTAAGGTCCCTCTCAGAACCCTAGATAAGAATTGGGGAGGGGCCGGCGCCGCGGCTCACTAGGCTAATCCTCCGCCTTGCGGCGCCGGCACACCGGGTTCTAGTCCCGGTCGGGGCGCCGGATTTTGTCCCGGTTGCCCCTCTTCCAGGCCAGCTCTCTGCTGTGGCCAGGGAGTGCAGTGGAGGATGGCCCAAGTGCTTGGGCCCTGCACCCCATGGGAGACCAGGATAAGTACCTGGCTCCTGCCATCGGATCAGCGCGGTGTTCTGGCTGCAGCGCACTGGCCGCGGCGGCCATTGGAGGGTGAACCAATGGCAAAGGAAGACCTTTCTCTCTGTCTCTCTCTCTCTCACTGTCCACTCTGCCTGTCAAAAAAAAAAAAAAAAAAAGAATTGGGGAGGAAGACCGATTTGATATAATGGGGAATTTTGGCAGGGAAAGAGGTTTAGGATACTTGCAAGACTAACCTGGTGAGAGAGAACATCAAAACATGAATGAAATATAAGCTAAATCACATGTGAAATTACAGCTCCAGAGTGAACACAAGTGCTTCAGGCTATGGGCTGGGTTATGTCACCCCCAAGATTTTTTTGTTAAAGATCCAATTCCCTGTATCTCATGATAAAACCATATTCAGATATTGGGCCTTTAGAGGTAATTTATTTGAGTTCATTAGGGTAGGTCCTGATTCAATATGAGTGTTGCTGTAAGATTTTTGAACAGTTACAAAAGCAAGACCACATGAAGACACAGAAGAAACATGGCCGTCTATAAGCCAAGGGGAGGACCCTCGGAAGAAACCACCTTGATCTCAACTCCTATCATCCAAAATTGCAAGAAAAGAAGTTTCTGTCATTGAAGCCACCCAGTCTGTGCTACTTTATTATGGCTTCTCTAGCATACAAATGCACTATTTCTCTTAATTTCATAGGAATAATAATGTAGCTGCAGGGTTTATTGGCTACTTCTGTTTCCCATGAACTCTGGAGAAACTGGAATTAAGAGAAAACATGGATTTAAGAAATTGACAGCAAAATGACAAACTTCTTGAGAGTTTGAGGCAGTTCTGAAAAATAGTGAAAGGTGCATGTTGGAGAAGGGGGCCTCATGCTGGGTTAGTGTGCAGCTAGAAGCAGCATGAGAAGGCCTGAAAGAAAGCCAGAATCTGTAGCAATGTTCCAAGCCTGCTGGTGTCTTACCTAAAAGGGGAAGCATCAGGACACATAATGGGGAAGGGTTACCACAGTCATAGGAAAGTACTGACACTCTGATATCTCTTGAATATTCCAAGCATCTTCACAGCTCAAAACTTTTTCACATGTTGCTTGATCTTCCCGAACTTTTCTCCTAGACATCCTCACAGTTTGCTCCCTCACTTCTTCAGGTCTTTGCTATTTAAAATTGCAACTTCCTTCATACCTGGGCACTACCCATTCCCCTTCTTTGTTATATTTTAATCCATATATAAACATTTTACTTCTTTTGTTTATTGTCTGTATTCCACTTTTTTTTTATTCATGTAAACTTTTTTTTTTTTTTTTTTGACAGGCAGAGTGGACAGTGAGAGAGAGAGAGACAGAGAGAAAGGTCTTCCTTTGCCGTTGGTTCACCTTCCAATGGCCGCCGCGGCCAGCGCGCTCACGCTGATTCGATGGCAGGAGCCAGGTACTTATCCTGGTCTCCCAGGGGGTGCAGGGCCCAAGCACTTGGACCATCCTCCACTGTACTCCCGGGCCACAGCAGAGAGCTGGCCTGGAAGAGGGGCAACTGGAACAGAATCCAGCGCCCCGACCGGGACTAGAACCCCGTGTGCCGGCACCGCTAGGTGGAGGATTAGCCTAGTGAGCCGCAGCGCCGGCACTTCTTAAATATAAAGTTATCCCTCAATGGTTCAGGGTACTCACCCTCCTATCCCATGGGTACAAAAATCCCTGGGTGCTTAAGTTCCTTAAATAAACTGACATAATACTTACATATAATCCATGCACAACCCTCCATATACTTTAAGTCATTTCTAGTTTACTTATTGTGCCTAATACAATGTAAATCCTATGAAAACAGTTGTTATATTGTATTTTAAGGAAGTAATGGCAAGAAAAAGTCTGTAAATGGTCAACACAGATGCAATTTTACTTTTAATATTTTTGAGCTGAGGTTGAATTTGCTGACGCAGAACTGTAGGATATAGACGATTGTCTATAAAGTCCACTAGGCAGAGTTTTTGTTGTTTTTCACACTGCTCATTCTTGGCATAAAGAAGGCGCTCAATAAATATTTGTTTAATAAATGAATGTTTTGTATTTTAGCATTCTTGTAGATATAAGCAACGGCATTAAGGCATAAACTCATCATGTTCAATGTAGATTTTCAGTCCTTTTAAATTTATTTATTTAAAGTAGGGAGGCCGGCGCTGTGGCTCAATAGGCTAATCCTCCACCTGTGGTGCCGGCACACCGGGTTCTAGTCCCAGTCGGGGCACTGGATTCTGTCCCAGTTGCCCCTCTTCCAGGCCAGCTCTCTGCTGTGGCCCGGGAGTGCAGTGGAGGATGGCCCAAGTGCTTGGGCCCTGCACCCACATGGGAGACCAGGAGAAGCACCTGGCTCCTGGCTTCAGATCAGCGAGATGTGCCAGCCACAGCACGATTCGCCAGCTGCGGCGCACCAGCCGGGGCTGCCACTGGAGGGTGAACCAATGGCAAAGGAAGACCTTTCTCTCTGTCTCTCTCTCTCTCACTGTCCACTCTGCCTGTCAAAAAAAAAAAAAAAAAAAAAAGAAGAAGAAGAAGTAAAGAAGAAGTAGGGAAGTAGGGAGAGAGAAAACAAGATAGGAACTCAATCCAGGTCTCCCACATGGATAGCAGGAACCCAACTGCTTGAGCCATCACTACTTGTCTCCCAGGTCTGAATTAACAGGGAGCTGGAATCAGTAGGCAGAGCAGGTTATCAAACCCATGTACTTCAACATTGGACATTAGCATCTCACCTGCTAGGCTAAATGTCTGCCCCCAATTATCAGTCCTTAGCAGTGTATCTTCTTGGCCAGCGCCGCAGCTCACTAGGCTAATCCTCCGCATGTAGTGCCGGCACACCAGGTTCTAGTCCCGGTTGGGGCACCGGATTCTGTCCCAGTTGCCCCTCTTCCAGGCCAGCTCTCTGCTGTGGCCCAGGAGTGCAGTGGAGGATGGCCCAAGTGCTTGGGCCCTGCACCTGCATCAGAGACCAGGAGAAGCACCTGGCTCCTGGCTTCAGATCCACGCGGTGCGCCAGCTGCAGCGCACCAGCCACAGCGGCCATTGGAGGGTGAACCAACAGCAAAGGAAGACCTTTCTCTCTGTCTCTCTGTCTCTTCTTTATCTAAAAGTTCAGATATATGTAGCAGACCAAAAAGCTCAGGATCAACTTTTTTACTTTGTAAAGTGACTCTTACTAACCTGTGTGATATGGCAATTGAGGGAAAAGGTATCCTCTAGGAAAGAGAGATGTAATAAGCAATTCTCAGGAATGTGTCAGGACTCAAAGTCTAATTGTATGAAGAAAAAGTGAATAAATCTTGCCCTGGCAGTTCAAGAATTGTGCCTTAAAAAATCTTTATAATAATTTGAAAATTTAAATTTTTTAGTTTATAAACACAAAGACTGTATTTATGGTAGAAAAATATAGTTCAACTTAGAAGGAGCAGGTCATATCAGAAAATATCTGTGGTGGATTTCCAATCATGTCACTTTTTCTTGAAGGGAATTATATGTCCTCACCTACTGCCATGCAACTTGAAGTGACCCTTTATGAGTTAACTATTCCTATAATAAAGCTGAATAACAAACCACCCAATGGCTTACCATAATAAGCATTTCTTTTTCTTCCTCACATATCTACAGGTCAGTTGTTTAAATGAGGAAGTTTCTTCAATCCTCCTAGGGTTCCTGGCTAGGTCTGAAATAAAAATTGACAAAGACAGACAACAGGAGAAAGCATTACATATTTATTTAATCAAGACTTTATAAAAACATGGAAGAATTTAGAAATGAAGACCCAAAGACCCTGGGAAAACTCCATTTCATGCTTAGATTTGATGAAAATGGAGTCTTGTTGAGATGTGATTGGACAAAAAAGGTATGATCTAGTAGTAATAGACTGTGAGGGAAAACACAGCAAGGCTTGTCCAGATTCTTCTTGTTCTCTCTATAGGGCATTCCTTCCTCTTTGGTGTAAGGTACGACCCCTTCTGGAATAAGGGTCTTATATATGATTTATTATCTGACAAGGTAGCTTGGAGAATTTTTTTAGGACCAGCTCTGACACAGAAAGGTGAGGGAAGGTTAGAGTAATATTTCAAGGGAGAGAGAGGTAGAGGGGTTCTAGTTTCTGTGACTCACTTTGGGGAGAGAAATTCTGATTTCCATGGCTTGCTTCCACAAAGAAAGGAGCAAAATGAGTCACAAAGATCTTGCTTTTGAGCCTCTTTCCTTCAGTTCAAAGTATGCAACATGTCAAGCACCATACTTTGGGGTCCTGTTTTCTGAGCCCTGACAGCTGGGATGGTACTATTTCAAAAAGTGGGCTTTCTGGGCTTATCTGCCTGAGTACCAGATTGATAGTATTTTTGATTTTTTTGGTTTGGGCTTTTTCTCTTAAAGTTGTCATTTCATTATGTGCAGGGCTTGCATATTTTCTAATGAGAAGTCTATGAAAACTCTTATTATTGTTTCTACAGAATGTGCCTACTCCCACACCCTAGCCCCAACTGCTTTGAAGATTTTCCTTTTTATCACTTTTTTCCACCAATATGGCTACGACATGCCCTAGTAGTTTTGATATTTATCCTATTTGGATTTCTTTGACTTTCTTGGGTTTCTAGTTTACAGGTTTCATCAAATTTAGAACACTTTTGTTCATTATTTCTTCAAATAATTTTTTGTCTAACCTCACTCCCTTTCTTAGGTTGCAAGTACATGGCAAACAATAGGCATCTTTGTGTTGTCCCATGGATCTCTGAAACTATTTATTCATTTTTAAGTCTTCTTTCTCTGGGTTATTTGGATTTTCTATTGCCGTCTTCAAATTCATTAATCTCCCTCCCCCATTCCACCATGGTGCTTAATGTTCTATCAATCCCATGTGGAGAATATATCCCATTTTGTCTGATATATTTTTCATCTCCAGAAATTCCATTTGCTTCTTTCCTTTTAATTTCTCCAGATTTTTCTCATATTTCCCCCTAAATCCTTGAGCATACTGAACACATTTATTAGGAGTATTTAAAGTCTTTCTCTGTTCATCCTATTACTCTCACCATTTCTGGTTATGTTTCCATTGACTGTATGAGCTAGTTCTCTACCTCTTGGCACACCTGCTGATTTTTGATAGGATGCCTCACATTTTAGTATACTGTTGAGTCCTGGATTTTGTTGTAGTCCTTTATAGAGTATCAGGCTGAGGGGTGGCAGGAAGTTGGGTTATCTACTGAACACTGATCCTTTTAGGGCTTGTTCCCAGCTTCTGAAGAGTTACAGCAGTTTGTACTCTGGATCCCGCAGCGGAGGGCCAGTTTACCCACTACTGATGCGAAACTGCTGCTGAGGTCTCTACTGCAGGTTCAACAGTCTCTCCACTCTGGTTACCATGAACGCAAATGATTCCCAGCCCTCTGTGCGCGCTGGTCATTGTTTGCCTTACTGCTCCCCTCTAATTACTCTTGCCTCGCCAGTTTCACATGACATTCGTGCTGATTTGTAGTCAATTAAAGATTCAAATGTACTCCCAAGCAGATTTCGGAGGCTCTTCTTCCAATGACTTCCCTCCTCTCCAGAATCCTGCTCCCATGCTCCCACCAACTTGGTCTCCCCAATTCCCTGAAGTCCAAACTGTCTCATCAGTGATCCTTGCCGAGTTTCTCTTCCCTGCATTACAGACTAGAGGCTGCCTCACAAAGCCAAGGCTCCTCTTGTTCCTACCCGCGCCGGCAAAACAAGCCAGCGTTGCCCGTTGTCCAAGGTCTGAAAAACTGTTTCAAATTGCGTTACTTTGTTCAGCTTTCTGATCGCTTGTGACATCACACCAAGTCCCACTCTAGTTCCTCTTGCCCAGAGTGCAAGTCTTCAGTGCGTTATGAAAAACAGGAATTGTTTCGTGAATGCTCCTTGTTATGGTGGAAAGGCACCTTCCTCTACGATATTGCCTCTTTTTTCCTTATCAAGGAACGCCGGCTACATAATCTCCGACTACCTCAGCCTGCGCCACCTCAGCGCCCGCAGTCCACGCCCGGCCGTCTCCCGCCCGCGCCTCTCCCGCCTTCTCCCTCCCTCCCGGCGCTTGTGCGCTCGAGCCGCCCAGCCGGCTCACTGCGCCTGCGCGGCGTGGGGACGCCAGACGCTCCCGGAAGTGGGAGGTGGCCGCGGGAGTTTGTGTGGCTGCCGCCGCGGGAACTAGAGCCCCGTAATTTTTCAACAGAGAAAGGCGGGGTGTTTCGGGCTTGGCGGCCTGAGAGTGAGAGACTGTCCGGCTCCGGCCAGCTTTCTTCTGGCGTGAGGGTCGGCATGGAGGACCCACAGAGCGAAGAGCCTGGCGGCGAGGCCGTGACTCCCGCGCGGCCGGAGTACGGGCAGGAGCCGCAGCGTCGGAACCTGGAGGTGAGGAGGAGTCGGCCGCGCCAGCAGCCCCGGACTCCGGTTTCCCTTTCTGAACGGGGGTTCCTCAGAAGCGACACCTGCGTCCCCTGGGGCCCCAGCCCCGGCTCCGGGAGCCTGCGGCAGGGTGGTTGTCATGGAGCCCCCTGGGGCCCGCATTACCCTCCGTGCCAGCGTCCATAGGGCGAGAAGTTCCGAGAACGGGGGTTTTTCCTAAGTTCCGAGTGGGAATTCTACCCTGAGCATTCCATAGATCCGCCGTTCCCGTTGTCCTCCTGTCGGGCCCTTCCCGGGAACTGGTGGGGTCGGGGTTTGAAACGTGGCGCCGCGCGCCCCGGCGCGGTCGTCTTCCCGCACACGCGCAGGCACGCGCACCCCGGGCTACCCGCTTCCTCCCAGCGTCGGCTCAAGGGGGCTGTTGGCGCTTCCATTCAGATCTTGCCCCTTTGCCACGGTCTCACGTAGACATGCCATCCGAGCACCATGGGGTTGGTAAATAAATGTTTTTTGGCCTGGCCCTGGTGGACTACCCTGCTTGCTGTAAGAGAATTGCGAAACGGTCCGCAAACTTGCGTATTGTGATTGTTACTGAGCGGCGCTGCGGGTTGTCAACACTGCTGCTGCTGCCGCCGCCGCCTCTCCGACTGTGCCACTACTACTGGTGTTTGCTACTCTAGCACCAAGAGGCTTCCTGCCTTCGCTCCTTCCATCCTAGGGTGATGTTTTTAATGATGACATGGCTTTGGCCCACCCCTCCTCCCTCGAAGTCCATTGGCCGCCCCCGCAGGATCTAGCTCCTGCCTTTGTTGCTAGGAATGGCATCTCACACAATTCTTCCCTTCGGCTTTCAGTGCCCCTTGGCCTCCTCCTCCTAGTCCCTTAAGGTGGTCGAGGGGTCTTTGCGTGTTGCCTTTGCCCTCTGTGCTTCGCTCTTCCTCCATGCCTTTGTTGTCTTCAAAGAGGCCTTCCATGTCCTTTATTAAAAACAAACAAAACGAAACACTCTTCCACATCACCTCCCTCTTTAGTCTGAGATTTTGTGAGTAATATGTAAATCAGTTTTCAAAGATTTATTAAGAGAAATGTGTTTGATGATGCCTCATTACATTTGAAAGTCTTGAAGCTTTGAGAGATAGTGACTCAAGGCCTGAGACTGGGACTGTACTGTGTTCCAGATGGGTTTCAGTGACTGTCATATTTGTTAAAAACTCATTAAGGGGAGGGCGTTTGCTTCAGACACTCTATCCCTAGGGTTGGAATCTTGGCTCTGGTTCCTAGTCCAGCTTCCTGCTAATGCCCACCCTGGGAAGCAGGACACGATGGCTCAAGTACTTGTCCCTGCACTGACACGTGAGACTGGGATTGAGTTCCTGGCTCATGGCTTTGGCCTGGCTCAGCTCTGACTATTGTGGACATTAGGGGACTGACCCAGTAAATGGAAGGTATGTTTTCTCTCTCTCTCATTTGCCTTTCAAGTAAATAAAAATTAACAAAAACTGAATATTAAAAAAAATAAAAACTTTTTGTTAGATGCTCTTAGTAAATGATGATACAATTGGATTTTCCATCCTGATTATGATTTTTTTTTTGTTGGAGTTCAGATAGTAAATTTCCATCATATCTAATGTCAGTTGTTTCTGTAAACTGATAAAAGCTATTGCATTTTTATATCTTTTAACAAGTAGTTCAAATTTCATCAGAGATCTTCTTTTGGAAGAATATTAATCGAGATAAATCTTAAGTTTCTTTCACTGCAAATACAGAGGTTTTGTGTTTCTTTTTAATAACTAATGTATAGTGGGGTTTTTTTGGCAATGAAATAATGGAAGCATTTAAAACATTTTTTTCAAGATGTTCTCCACACAGATAAGTGGTTACTCGGTAGCTTATTGTTAGAACATGTTTCTTCTATCTTTGAAACAACAGATTGTGTTCCTTAAAAATAAATAAATAATATCTTCAAAAGGTCAAGCTGCATTCCCTTTCTCAGTAAGAAAAGGACAGCAATTTTGGAATACCTCTATATTTGTAGCAGAAAATATGCAGCTCATCTTTAAGTTCAGCAGCACTTTAATGTACTTTACCACAAGATAAGCGGCAGACCTCAGGTGTCAAACATTTTCATGGTCAAGTCCTATAAGGTAAAAGATTCTCTTATTTAAGATAATTATAAATCTGTGCAGCTGGATTCATGAAAACTGCAAAATGTCACAGTCTGTGGAGGTGAATATTCCTCTCTGTATTATGGAATCTGTTTCCACTTTTTCTCAATATGTGGCCATCACGTATAGGGCATTTTAACAGATGGACATGGAAATGGGGTAGATGCCACTGTCATAAATTAATTTAGGAAATTGATTTTGTGTTTTTGCAGATTAATAATATATGTGGATTTTGATGAGCATCCTTCTTTGGGAGTGTTAGTATAGACCTGAAATTTGGGAGGAGATACTGATTATAGGGCATCATGGCTGTGCCCAGAGCTTCTCTGAAGGATGAGGGTAGAGTTGGACCCAGGAGCAGAAGCAGATTTTTCTTTTTACGAGTCATGTATACATCATATCAAGAATAGTTAGAAGTGTTACCACGGGCAATTTTTGTAGCTATAATTTTATATAACAATTAACCAGGTGAATCAGAGAATTGATCCAAAAAGTTGCCTAAATGAAGAGAGAAATGTTTTGATGGAAAGACTGTTCCTTAATATTGTCCTAAATTTTAACCTGACTGAACATTCAATGTAAGTTTAGAAATAAAAGATAAATTACTATGATCAAATTCTAATGATAAACAGCCATTTATTTATAGCCATTCTGGGAATGGTATTAAGAGCCTGAAATACATATTTCATTCTTACAGTGATTCCACCCAAATAGCATTACCATTGCCAAATACCATATGAGGCAGTTATCATTTGTTTCATAGACAAGAAACTGAAGATCAGAGGCTAATAAGGAACTATCATGGGATATGCTACTAGAATATGGTCAGCTGGAGCTGTATGCAGAGTTGACTTTGACTCTATCACTAGTCCTCCTTTTAGTTAAGTGCATTTGAGGAACCTGAGACTCAGAATAGAGTGGGGTCATAGTATCTGCGGTGGGCACTGTTTATCATGTAGCATGAATAGGCCTCAGGAGTTAAAATGTCTGTACTATATAAACTATATTGTGCCCCCCCCCCCTTTTTCTTGTAGAAAAAGCAACGGTGTAGATTTGATGGCCAAGAAACAAAAGGATCTAAGTTCATTACCTCCAGTGCAAGTGATTTCAGTGACCCAGTTTACAAAGAGATTGCTATCACGAATGGTTGTATTAATAGAATGAGTAAAGAAGAACTCAGAGCTAAACTTTCAGAATTCAAGCTTGAAACAAGGTAATTAAAAGCAACTTTTTAAATTATAAAAGTAGTACATGCTCATCTTAGAAAATTTAGAAAACACTGAGAAGTTAAGTTCATCTGTAATCCTACCATAAAGAGATAGCCATTATTATTACAATTCAAATAACCATTATTTACATTGTTGTATGTTAATCTTTGTGTGCAGCTCTGATTATTTGTCAGGATTTTAGATGGTAAAGTAGGATTGCTATAGTTAAGAATATTTTAATGGTCTACCATTATATTATATAATGGTATATTATAGAGAGTATAGGGTTATCTAGCTCATTGTAACAAGTGTGTTTGAATAATTATATCTTATTAATGAGATTGAATGTTTTTAAGTTTTCTTTTTTTTTTTTATTTTATTTTATTTTTTTAATTTTTTTGACAGGCAGAGTGGACAGTGAGAGAGAGAGACAGAGAGAAAGGTCTTCCTTTGCCGTTGGTTCACCCTCCAATGGCCGCCGTGGCCGGCGCGCTGCGGCCGGCGCACCGCGCTGATCCGATGGCAGGAGCCAGGAGCCAGGTGCTTTTCCTGGTCTCCCATGGGGTGCAGGGCCCAAGCACCTGGGCCATCCTCCACTGCACTCCCTGGCCACAGCAGAGGGCTGGCCTGGAAGAGGGGCAACCGGGACAGAATCCGGCGCCCCGACCGGGACTAGAACCCGGTGTGCCGGCGCCGCTAGGCGGAGGATTAGCCTAGTGAGCCGCGGCGCCGGCCTGTTTTTAAGTTTTCTTTTGACCATTTGTATTTTTTTTATAGAGGGTTTGTTTGAAACCAGATAAGTTAAAAAAAGAATTTTTTTGACCAGGAAATTTGGCCAGGGTGGGGGGATTTGCTTTTAAAAATAATGCAGAGTGACAGTATGATAATAAGCAGATGTTTAACTGTGTTGAATGAAAAAACAATAGAGCTTAGTCAACTGTGTGTATCATTAAAGAAATGTACATATACTTAAATTTTTAATATTTTTTGTGAAAGAAATTTTTTTAACTTAGGCATGTAGCAGAAATGACTTGGAACCCAGAAAAATACATACATAGATTTCTGATAAATAGTGGAACTGCCAGCCAGACTGTGTAGGAAAACCATTATTGTTTCAGAGCATTCTCTAATCTTCATTGTCTTATAAAAGTATTTTTCCTCTTCTAAAGCTTTAAAATAGAGCTTCACTACTTCTCAGAAGAACATATGCATACTTTTTCCCTTCTCGATTGTCTACATCATAACATTTTTTTGTTAATATTTATTTATTTGAAAGTCAGAGTTACACAGAGAGAGAGGTCTTCCATCCGCTGGTTCACTCCCCAATTGGCCTCAATGGCCGGAGCTGCGCTGATCCAAAGCCAGGAGCCAGGAGTTTGTTCCGGATCTCACATGCGGGTACAGGGGCCCAAGCACCCTGGGCCACCTTCTGCTGCTTTCCCAGGCCATAGCAGAGAGCTGGATCTGAAGTGGAGCAGTCAGGACCTGAACTGGCGCCCACATGGGATGCTGGCACTGCAGGCGGTAGCTCTACATGCCACACCACAGTGCCAGCCCCTACATCGTAACTTTTAACAAAAATTTTGACCTCATTTTCCCCTGCCATTTTTTATTATAAAGGTACAATCTGTAGCATACAGAAAATTCTCTGAGCAAAATTTGTGTCCTTCCCAGGTGTGAAGATCAGTTGCTTGCTGGCTTGCATGGGAGCTAGTGATCTAGATGTATGATTGTGTATTTATTGAGCAAGCCTGTGTTGAATTCTAAGCACTACTTTAGGCATTGAAGTTATAAAGGTAAATACAGATGTGTTCCCCACTTTGGAAATCTCACAGTCTTACAGATAATCAATATAGAGTGGCTGGTGCTATATTGGAAGTCTGGCCATGTGCAGCATAAGAAGAGACTGTGTCTCAGGAATATAGGAAAGTTACATTAGAATTGTGCCAAACTGAAAAGTCAAAAGAACCTAGAAACTTTTTTGTTTTTTAAAAAGATTGATTTGATTTTTTTGAAAGGCAGACAGGGTGAGGTGGGGCTGGGGTGGGAATCAGTCTGCCATCTGCTGGTTCACTCCCAGTTAGCTGCAATGGCCAGGGCTGGGCTGGGCAAAGCCAGATGCCTAGAAGTCTATCTGGGTCTCCCATGTGGGTGGCAGGGGCCTAGCATTTGGGCCATCTTCCACTGCTTTCTCAAGTGCATTAAAAGGAAGCTGATCTCAAGCAGAACTGCCAGGACTCGAACTGCTGCCTGGCGTTGTAGGTTTCGGCTTAACCCACTTTGCCACAGTGCTGGCCCCAAGAACTCAAACTTCCAAAATTTCTGTATGTTTTCTGCTTCATGATCTTGCCTTTTTCTCAGCTGTTGTATAACCATAGTTACGAAACATAACATACACCCCATATTCAAGCTATAGCTTAAAACACTTTTTTTTCCAGTAGTATATGATGTACCAGTGTACCTTTGGGCAGTAGGAACATTTGAGGAGAATACTGAAATGATAGTTATAGCTAGGTTGTAAAGGAACTCTATGCTCTCTTGTAAGCAGAAGGGATCCACGAATAATAAAAATAAGTAACAGTAAATTGGCTTTAGTGCTCTATTCTTAAGATTAAGAATGAACTGGAGAGTTGTGATGGAGGAGGCATTTGCCATAGTTCAAGAAGCTAATGGGAGCCATAGCAAATTAAGGAGAACCAAATTCTGAATATTTTTCTGAGTTGAAATTGCCAAAAAATGGTGACTACTCAGTGTGGGAGAAACAATGGAAATCTTAAAGGTGATGGATCTCCATTCTAAGCAACTAGTTACCTGATCATGCTGCCATTGGGTTTCCAGGCAACCCTTTAGTAAATATTGTTTCTCCAAAAGAGAAAAGTAACATGAAGTGATGTAAACATGTCACATGATACAGAGGTCACTTACAATGCTTTAATATGAAAGAGTGTTTTAATGAATTTCTTCTTAGGTTTTGGTAATTTGGAAAGTTTCAAGCAAGTAAACATACAAAGACATTTTGTCTTTTTTTTTTTTTTTTTTAGATTTATTTTATTTATTTGAAAGAGATACAGAGAGAGGGGTCTTCCATCCGTTGGTTCACTCCCCAGATGCTACGGCCAGAGCTGTGCCGATCTGAAGCCAGAAGCCAGGAGCTTCTTCCGGGTCTCCCACATGGGTGCAAGGGCCCAGGCACTCGGGCCATCTTCTGCTGCTATCCCAGGCCATAGCAGAGAGCTGGATCGGAAGAGGAGCAGCCAGGACTAGAACCCATGCCTATATGGGATGCTGGCACTTCAGGCCAGGGCTTTAACCCGCTGTACCACAGTGCCAGCCTGGACATTTTATCTTAAAACAACTAACTGCTTGATTATTAGTGTTTTCATGAGTAGGTTTCTTTTTCAGTGCTTCAGTGGTAGTTTAGAAAGGAAAACAAAAGGCTAAGAAATGTTTGTCTCTAACTGGCAATGTGGCCCAAATGCTTTAGTTGATACTACACATTTATTACTATTCTGATACTTTTATTTTTACTGCCATTTTGTATTTGCAGACTTCAGCCAAGTAATACTGAAGAAATAAGCACTGGTTTTGACTTAATTTTTTGAAGAAATACTTTTCTGTTTGAGAATGTGATTGCTATTTCCAATCATTGTTGCCCATGTAGGAGGACCTTTCCCTCTCCTACACCATTTGTGGAATTTGTTTTATTTTTATTAAAAAGTATTTATTTGAGAGAGCAAGACAGATCTCATTTCTGATTCCCATCCCCAAATACTTGTGACAGCCAGGAATAGGCTGAGGATGAAGCCAGGAGCTGGGAACTTGATCCAAGTCTCCCACGTGCTTGGTACGAGCCCAGTCACTTAAACCATTACTGCTGCCTGCAAGGACCTGCATTAACAGAAAGCTGGAGTGGGGGCCAGAGCTAGACCTCCAATGAGGTGTTCCTATCTGGAACATGAATGTTTTATCCCATTTTTTTTTTTTTTTTTTGAACAGGCAGAGTTAGACAGTGAGAGAGAGACAGAGACAGAGAGAAAGGTCTTCCTTTTTCCGTTGGTTCACCTCCCAAGTGGCCGCTTTGGCCTGCATGCTGCGCCGATCCAAAGCCAGGAGCCAGGTGCTTCCTCCTGGTCTCCCATGCAGGTGCAGGGCCCAAGCACTTGGGCCATCCTCCACTGCCTTCCCGGGCCACAGCAGAGAGCTGGCCTGGAAGAGGGGCAACCGGGACTAGAACCCGGGGTGCCGACGCCGCAGGCAGAGGATTAGCCTAGTGAGCCGTGGTGCCGGCCTATCCCAATGTTTTAATCAGTAGACCAAACACTTGTTCTGTGGAACTTATGTTTTAAAAAGCTATCTGCAATATCGTACATCATATTCTCCCCATAATAAATTAAGAAACCTATTTTCAGTTTAAGAACCTACTGAGTATGGTAGTGTTCCTCTGTATGAAGTTTATACCAGGATATTATAAATTAGTTTTCCTGGTTAAGTAGCTTATAGACATCTAACCTTATATACCAGGCTCATAATACTTTCATATTTGTGCAGGGTGTTTTTTTTGGTTGTCCAACCTACAAAAGCCAAAAGAAACAATAGGTACCACAGGGCGTTCAATTTACCTTCATTTTCACATTTTGAGATTTGTGTTTGGCCAGTAGAATATATATCATCAATATTGGTTTTAGTTTTAATATCATCTTAATGTATAAGGTAATATGGCTATGTTGGTGATACGTATTGACTAGGCTTATGGTTTCAAATGCTATTATATATTGGAGAAAATTCTGTATGCTTCTAAACTAAGGTATTTTGAAGGAAAATGTTGATGTATTAAACTTTTCTTTTTAATTTGACATCATACACACACATATACACAAATGTAGAGCTCCATCTACTGGTTTGCTCCTCAGATGCCTGCAATGTCCAGGGCTGGGCCAGAGTTAAAGCTGGGACCCAGAAACAATTCAGGTCTCCAGTGTGAATGACACAGACCCAATTACTCGAACCATCACTTGCTGCCTCCCAGAGTACACATTAGCAGGAAGCTGGAATCAGGGGCTGAAGCTAGGAATTGAACCCAGGAATCAGGGGCTGAAGCTAGGAATTGAACCCAGGAATCAGGGCTGAAGCTAGGAATTGAACTCCAATATGGGATGTGCGCTTTTTAACTGCAGTGCCAAGAACTGCCCCCATGTGTCTTTGTTTTAATGAGTTCTTTGCTAACTTAGCCGTGAGTGTTACTTTCCTGACATTTATCTTGAATAGCATTTGCTAAATTATGCTGTGACTGTCAGTATTCAGCCCAGTACCAGCAGGTAAGAAATTTGATTATTGACTGTAAAATTTACATAAGTAAATTTTATTCTTTTACTTAGAGGAGTAAAGGATGTACTGAAGAAGAGACTGAAAAACTATTACAAGAAGCAGAAGCTAATGCTGAAAGAGAGCAATTGTGCTGACAGTTACTATGACTACATCTGTATTATTGACTTTGAAGCCACTTGTGAAGAGGGTAACCCACCTGAGTTCATACATGAAATAATTGAATTTCCTGTTGTTTTACTGAATACTCATACCTTAGAAATAGTAAGTGAAATGCTGTATTTTAATTTTACTTATAGCATCAATTATTCTGGTGTTCACAAGTAACGTGGAGATCTCATTTGATGTTTTAACTAGATTTAGATTTCTGAAGTGGACTTTTTGCTCTTGTGAACTTTATATTGATTTGATTAAAAGAAAAGCTATAATAAAGCAATTTGCATAGATACCTTTCCCAAAAGTAAAAATTATGTTTTCTTCTGCCTACTTCATACATCTGGGTAAACATCAGAGTCTTCTGTAGAGTAGAAGAAAAACAGAACAAATTAATGCCTGGCCCTAGACCCAGAGATTCTTATTCAGCTGTTCCATGATAGGGCCCCTGACATTAGCATTTCTTTTAACCTCTCAGTTAGTATGTAGTCAGAGTGGAGAACCACTGCCTGTGGTTTTAATGAGAACACTGATCTGTATTTAAGAATGATAATTTACAAAAGTCACCTTTCAGTATAGAACTGGCCATCTTTCTGGTGGAAAGTTTACAGGGGAAACAACTCCTGTAACATTGAGTTCTAAACCATATACTATGTTGTTTGTCCATTATTCTGGAAATCATAGTGGGAGTTCCCCAAAATACTTATGTTTCATTAAAAATTTTGGGTGATGTGTTACTAACATTTTATCTTACAGAAGTCACTTCTGTAGTATCCCCAGTTGCCACCAACACACTGGGAGTAGTTATAAAAAGGCCTGGAGCATTAAAATGGGTAGGTTATAGCATAACCTTAGGCTGTTAGCATAGCCTTTTAGTTATATTGCTGTTCATCTTATTATATTTTCTCATCCAAAGCAGATGAAGGGTCATAAATTAGAAAGAGAAATGACAGCTATGGAAGCAATCTTGCATAACTCAATAGATTTCACATCTTCTGTCTTACTGAATGACATTGTTCTACAAATTCTCCCTCATTTAGACATTATTGTTATTTCTGTTATTTTTCCTATAAATAGAAACGTTTTTCATACTATGTAAGTTCACTTCATCCCACGGCACAGCCTTCTACCCCGTTTCTTTGTTCTTAATTATGGCAAAGTTCTTCAGCAAGTAAGTTATATAAATACTTCTCTGTTTCCTTTCTTCCCATTATCTTAAACCCATACCACTGTGGGTTTACATTCCGTTAAGTTTAAGCTATGTATTCAATCCTGTCATTCCACTAAAAATCAGTTATTAACATAATCTTTGGCTTTTGCCTAAACCCTGGTAGAATTAACTACTTTTTGTCTTAAAATACTTTCTTCAAGTCACTGCTAATACACCTTGTTCTTTGTGACATTTCTCCAGCCTGTCTGAATTTCCCCTTTGTAGTTTCCTTTGTTGTCTCCTCTTCTTCCCAACTTAATAGCAGATGCCCCTCAGCAGACTCCTAGCTCCTCTTCTCTGTATACATCCCCTCCCTGGATGATATTAGCTAGTTTGCTAGCTTTTAGAAACTGTCTTTGTGCTGTTGACTTCCAAATATACCTGGGCATCTCCAACCTGCACCTGTGTCCCAAATCCAGATTGCTTACTAGACATTTCTACTTGGACACCTAAACAGACACCCTAACATGTCCCTAATCGAATATACCCACAACCCATTCTGGCATCAGCCTTCTCCATCTTCAGGGATGGCAGCTCTATATTTCTGATCTGATTGTTCGCTTCAGAAACCTTGGGCTCATCCTTGACTTCTGTTTCTCTCGCATTGCAATTCCAGACCACCAGTGATTCTAGTTTGGCTCTGCCTTCAAAATACATCCAGAACCCACCTGCTTAATGGAACTGCTGTGAATCCCGACTGAGCCCCAGTCATTTCTTGTCTATTGACTGCGTTCCCCATCTAACCAATTTCTGATTGTACCTTTGTTTCTTTTAGCCAAAATAATCCTTTAAAAATTCAGCAGATCACTTCAGTCTTCTGAAAACTCTGTACTAGCTTCCCCGTTTAACTCAGAGTAAAAGCCATATTCTGTATATGATCTGGCTTCTTACCTCTAATTGCTTTCTCTCCTATTACTCCTTTCCTCGTTCTGTCCATTGAAGCATGCTAGCCTGCTTGCTGTTTCTCAAAAATACCAGGCATGCTCTAGTCCATCACTTCTCGGAACTTTAGTTCTCTTTCCCTAGAAATTTTTCTGGCTAATTCCTATTCTCCTTCTCCCCCTGTCCTACTTTCTTTCCTCCCTCCCTATCTTTCCCTCCTTTCTTTTCTTCCTTCCTTTCTCTTTCCCTCCCTTCCTGTCCTTCCTTAAATTTAACCTCTGAGTAAAGCCTAGTTGATGATCCTATTTGTAGCTTGTGCATACCCTCTTACCTGCTCTGCTTTTCCTTTACTTTTAATACCCTCATCACCTTTTAACTGTGTGATTTTAAGTAATAAGTAAATATATTTTTTTTTTTTTTTTTTTGACAGAGTGGACAGTGAGAGAGAGAGACAGAGAGAAAGGTCTTCCTTTGCCGTTGGTTCACCCTCCAATGGCCGCCGCGGCTGGTGCGCTACGGCCGGCGTACCGCGCTGATCCGGTGGCAGGAGCCAGGAGCCAGGTGCTTTTCCTGGTCTCCCATGGGGTGCAGGGCCCAAGCACCTGGGCCATCCTCCACTGCACTCCCTGGCCACAGCAGAGAGCTGGCCTGGAAGAGGGGCAACCGGGACAGAATCCGGCGCCCCAACCGGGACTAGAACCTGGTGTGCCGGCGCCGCAAGGCGGAGGATTAGCCTAGTGAGCCGCGGCGCCGGCCAGTAATAAGTAAATATTTGTTCAGTGAATGCGTAGTTCTTAGAACATTTTTATTCTGTTAAAAGTGACTAAAATTTTATTAATGATATTTAGTATTATCTGATTATCTGAGAGTAAGTGCAATATATTTATGGAGTATTTTATGTTTAAAATTAGAAAATACTTAAAAGAATATACACTTTATAATAGCTAAGTAGGATTCTTAAGTGATTTGGTAGGTAAAGATCATCTAACCTTTGAAGTTCAGGTGTTCTTTGCTATTGTTTTCTTTTTTATGATTCTTAGCAATCAGTTATAGTTCATTTGCTTGATAGTATGTGAAAAGCATGTATTCTTGTGGTATATAAACATTTACGTTCTTTTTAGTGTTTGCCACAAGAAATATTCTTTGTCTTTTTCTCTGTATCTATCTAGGATTAACAATTGCTACCTTTAAATCTTTAGACTTTAAAATTGTTCTTACTTTTTTTTTTTTTTTTTTTTTTTTTTTGACAGGCAGAGTGGATAGTGAGAGAGAGACAGAGAGAAAGGTCTTCCTTTTGCCGTTGGTTCACCCTCCAGTGGCCGCCATGGCTGGCGCACTGCGGCCGGCGCACCGCGCTGATCTGATGGCAGGAGCCAGGTGCTTCTCCTGGTCTCCCATGGGGTGCAGGACCCAAGCACTTGGGCCATCCTCCACTGCCTTCCTGGGCCACAGCAGAGAGCTGGCCTGGAAGAGGGGCAACCAGGACAGAATCCGGTGCCCCGACCGGGACTAGAACCCGGTGTGCCGGCGCCGCTAGGTGGAGGATTAGCCTATTGAGCCGCGGTGCTGGCAAAATTGTTCTTACTTTTTAAAAAGTGACTGTTGAGGTTTAGGAAGTCGATATTAGGCTGACTTCCTAAAGAAGACACTTAGATAGGAGAGCCTAGTGATGATGACACTGGCCTTATTTAAGTCACAGTGTACAACAAGAGCAGTGGGAAAGCTTGGAGAAGTTAAAAATTGCTACAGAAATGGAATATTCTCAGCCTTTAAGCTATCATATATCATAAAGTTTTGACTGTTAAATTTTGACTGTCCAAGAGTAAATGAATAAAGACTATCCAAGAGTAAAGTGCAGCAATTGGAGCTAATTTATTGCAACTGAAGACTGGCATTTCTTGAAAAGAATTTATTTATTATTTCTACTCTTTGTATCTTGAAGTAGAGGTTTTATTAATAGGCTATGTGGTTTTATAATACACAAAAGATCAACATTTTTCTCTCCAGAAAAATGTTTACTTAAATTTTGGTATGAAGCCTAAAAAATTTTAAACTGAATGTAATTTTTTAAAATTTAAAAGTCAGAGTGTTTTGCGTGTAGGAGAATTATCCTTACAAACTCTGGAAGGCTCTGTGCTGTACCCATCAATTTTTTTTTCCCCAAAGAAATCTTTTATTTAAGAATACGAACTTCATGCATTTCATAAATACAACTTTAGGAACATAGTGATTCTTCCTGCTGTACTTGCCCTCCCACTGATACTCTCACCACTCATCCTCCTCTCTCCTATTTCCAGTCTTATTTTTTACTAAGATCTATTTTCAAATAACTATTCACAGAAGATTAACTCTATACCAAGTAAAGAGTTCAACAAATTGTATGGAAAAAAAACTGTTCCTCAACAGTCGAGACAAGGGCAGTTCAAAGTCATTGCATCTCGAAGTTAATTTCACTTTTTTTTTTTTTTTTTGAGAAACTTAATTAACTTTAAAGAAGAACCCAAGAATGATACTTCTTTTGTAAGCACTTAGACATAGCTAAAACTTATGAGACATAAGAATATCCTCCACTTAATACACTAAAACAAAGTAAATCTTTGAGAACAAGTTTTGCTATTAACTCTCATACAACTCTTTGAGATCAGAGGTCCTGCATGGGAAGTTAGTATATTGACTGTTGTTGCTAATTTAACAATTAGCACTCTTAAGTATGATCTCAGTGATCTCCCAAGGCTCTAGACATGAGCTGCCTAGGCTATGGAAGCCTTCTGAATCCACAAACTCCTTCAGTATTTAGAAAGGCCATAAACAAAGTAGAAGTTCTCTCCTCCCTTCAGAGAAAAGTACACCCTTTGATGACCACTTTCCACTGGGGTCTCACCCAGAGGTCCTTCATGTAGGACCCTTTTGCCTCAGGAGCACCTATAAATTTACAACCTGGCATGACTGAATTTGTCATATATTGTGTGTCATGTATCTTAAGTCATACAAAACACTTTAACCTTCTCTCATTCCCATTCCCTTGTAGGAAGATACGTTTCAGCAGTATGTGAGACCAGAGGCTAACACACAGCTTTCTGATTTCTGCATCAATCTTACTGGAATTACTCAGGTTATGATTTTATGTTCTTTATTTTTTTCTAGAATTTGAAAGATGTTTTGATATTAAATGTTTTAAATAGATAACTTTTAAAGCTTCCTATTGTTGTGGACATTTAATCTGTTATTTTCCTGGTCTGGTAAAGATCTTTCACATATGTTAAGAAAGTATGTAAAAGCAATTGTTACACCTGGTAACATCTTTCTCAACCTTTCCTTTTAAGGAATTGTAATAATGAATCTATTAAAGGTTTCATTTGTAGAATAAACAGGGAAGTAAGTGTTGTGAACTTTGGAGATATTTTAGAATGTATCTGTTTACAACCTGACTCTATATTTAGCTTAATTTTTTCTTTAGATCTCTGGTAGTTTGTTGTATTTTGTTATAGTAGGTCCTTTTATTTGGTTACTTCATGCATTCATTCATTCCACACATATTTGACTGCCTATTCTAATATATGGCAAGGTTCTACAGAATAAGAAACAGTCAAATGAGTCTATCCTCAGCTCATTTACAACTTACAAGTCATGATGACCGACAGTAAGTTGATGGGTTACAGTATGGTTCAGAAGACTGACACGTGAGTGTTGTGTTATATTATGAGCAACTGTAAAAAGGTCTTGCATTTATGATGGAGAGAATGGAGGGCTGTCCTGCAGAAAGCTTCCTCAAGTTGGAAACTTTGGCCAAGTCACAATAGATTAGTAGGCAGAAAAGAATGGGTATTGCAGTTGTGAAACAGCAGAACTATAAGCAGTTAAAGATAATTGTGTGTGTGTGTGTGTGTGTGTGCGCTAGTAAGAAAATGGTTGGAGTAGGCAGAGGGAAGCCAGATCGTGAAGGATCTTGTGTATCTCTGTCCTGAAAGCCTTGGAGAATGTGTGAAGTCTTGAAGTGTGAGAGTGATGTGATGGATCACATTTACATTTTAGGAAGATAGTCTGGCAGCAGTGTGTGTGTGGAAAGGTGTGAGACTTGAGATGGGGAAATCCTTAGGGAGCTCTGGCTTTCAGTGAGAGGAGATTCCCCTTTCCCCCAACCCTGAGAATCAGTAAGCTCCTAGACTGATGCCTGTGAGAAGAGAACTACTGAGAATAACCTTAAGCCTTGATTTTGGGAGGACTATACTTGTATACTTCAATTGCAAGCAGTTCTTAATACTTCACTTTAATATTTAATTGTCATAAAAATGAAGTGTGGGTAACTCTAAGCCAATGGAAATGAGGAATTTAAGACATTATAGATAAGCCTTGCTCATACTCCAGCTTATGTTTTGGTATTTTGTGGGACACCATGTAGCTACTCTGATTTTTATGTATGTTACTTTTATATCCTCAGGATCAGGTAGACAAAGCTGATACTTTTCCTCAGGTCCTAAGGAAAGTAATTGACTGGATGAAATTGAAGGAATTAGGAACGAAGTATAAATACTGCATATTAACAGATGGGTAAGTATTTATGAAAATTATTTGTTTTAAATCTTTGTAATATTAAAAATGTCCTTATTCATTTTATAATATCCACAAAAGCTGTTTATTAAGGGCCTAGAGTTACCCCATAGGAAATAATATTTTCCTTTTGCATTCTTATTCCTCCTTAGATTTTAAATCTTAGGTTGAAAGAGAAGAGAGAAAACAATGATAGTCTAATCCAGGACTAGCAAAAGATAAATATTAATATATAAAACTAAACTGATATGCACTTAAAATATCATAACACTTGCTCAGAACAGTCTTCAGCTTGGCATTTAGGATTCTCTCATCTCATCCCACCCTACCTGCTAAGCCTAATCCACCTACCATTGTTCCATTCTACTCTAGTCAGCTGACCCATGATGCACATGGTTTATCCTTTCTCTTTGTACTTGCTTACTTCATGCTTTCTTTACCAAGAGGCACACTTCCTTGACATCATTATTCAAGGACCACCTGTGTTTTACCACACTGTGCTCACATTGATCTTTTTTTTTCCCTTAAAGTCTTGTAACCTCCATGGTATGTATTATTTATGTTACATTTGACAATATATTCTCATCTAAGCATTATGTTTAGAAGACATTTTTGCAAGGAAATTAAAAATTCTTTTAGAATAAGGACTTTTATTACCTGATAATCTTCCATACTTAATGTAGTGTTAAGCTCAAAGTATATGCTCCAGAAACATTTCTTAAATGTAAGGCTAAATGGGAAGATCACAGAGATTAAAACAAGAATTAAAGGCATCATGCCAGGGCAACTCCTGTACTATAAAGTCATTCAGATTGAAGAAGAAAGTCCTAAACTTGGGTTTCAGGCTCTGGGCAGATTGTAACCTAAAGCTAAGATGTCACCAACATAGAGGACTTAGAAATCCTTACAGTCAGAGAAGAGCATTGAATTTAATCTCATCATGATTGGGTTTGAAAATGGAAATTTGAAAAGATATTGATGGGCCTTTTTAGAAATCTGTCATTGATTTTAAATGTGAACAAGCAACATTCTTGCTCAAGTACGTAAATGTTTCTGTCATAGTGTAGTATATGTGGTTCTGTGAAAACCTGGCATTTTGGGACAGAACATTCAAAACCCATGCGGTTTTATAACAAGGCACTAACAAGAACTGATTGATTCCTTCAGAACAAATTCAGACAATCCATGCAAGCAGCTCAGGGGAGGTGAAGGTTGCCTCAGAAGATATTAGAAATGTGCAGAAGCAATAGGATCCTGGGGACAGACACTTGTTTCTAATTTTCTTCAAATACACTTGGAAGTAACAAATACTTTTGTTAGCGGCAGCTAAGTGGAGGGTTTTCTATTTCCTGCTGAAAGTTATAATTTCTCCTGCTATTATTCTGGTTCCCCTTGCCTAAGAAGAGCCACATATGAATCAGTACAGTTTCTACAGTACACAGTGTTATCCTTCCTAACTATGGTAAGTTAATGGGTCTTGTAGAAATGAGTGCTGTAGGGCTGGCGCCGCGGCTCAATAGGCTAATCCTGCTCCTGCGGCGCCAGCACACCGGGTTCTAGTCCCGGTCGGGGCGCCGGATTCTGTCCCTGTTACCCCTCTTCCAGGCCAGCTCTTTGCTGTAGCCCGGGAGTGCAGTGGAGGATGGCCCAAGTGCTTGGCCCTGCACCCTAGGGGAGACCAGGATAAGCACCTGGCTCCTGCCATCAGATCAGCGCGGTGCGCCAGCCGTAGCGCGCTGGCCGCGGCAGCCATTGGAGGGTAAACCAATGCCAAAAGGAAGATCTTTCTCTCTGTCTCTCTCTCTCACTGTCCACTCTGCCTGTCAAAAAATTAAAAAGAAAGAAAAGAAAAAGAAATGAGTGCTGTAGAAGAATAAGTTTATTTTAACTACTTGGTACCAGCTGCTTTTGTCTCAAATTTAGGTCTTACTTAGTTTTGTTTCTTACTGTACTTCAAACCACCCTCAAAGAATTTACCAATATGATAAGCCTGCTACTGAATGTAATTTGGAGTTATTTTAGAATTATAGAAAAATATTTATTAAGATAGAAGTCTACTCAGATAATCAGAACCATAAAAGCAAACTGAAACTAAGAATTCATTTATGAAAACAAATTTGATATGTCTAACTTTCATGGTTTTTTCTTTTTAAAGTTTATTTTTGAATTAGTGTTGTCAGAAGTGAGATTAATTTTCTGAACTCAGTGTTATGTATGGATATGAGAAGAGCTGATGTATGCCTGTGTGTCAAGAAAAAAAACAAAATGGAATGACTTAAAACCTTCATTTGTAATAATGGTATAGCATTTACTTTATCCATTTTTCCCCCTGTTTTTGATGTGTAAGTTCATGGGATATGAGTAAGTTCTTGAACATTCAGTGCCAACTCAGCAGGCTGAAATACCCTCCTTTTGCGAAAAAGTGGATCAATATTCGGAAATCATACGGCAACTTCTACAAGGTAAAATTTCTATGTTTACAGATTATACTGCTCTTAATGATAAATTTGTTTTATTTTACAGGTACATTTAAGTTTTGATTTTCTAGGTGTTTTTCATAGGAAAAGGCTATTGGACTAGTTGTTACTTTTCAGATTCTAGATTAGTTTATGTTCAGTTAGATAAGCCTTTTTTTCTTATTTGACCTGTGAACTTTTTTTTTTTTTAAAGATTTTATTTTATTTATTTGAGGGGCAGAGTTACAGAGAGAGAGAGGGGGAGAGACAGAGAGAAAGGTCTTCCACCTGCTGGTTCACTCCCCAGATGGCTGCAACGGCCAGAGCTGAGCTGAGCTGAGCTGAGCTGATCCAGAGCCAGGAGCTTCTTCCGGGTCACCCATATGGGTACAGGGGCCTAAGCACTTGGGCCACCTTCTACTGCTTTCCCAGGCCATAGCAGAGAGCTGGATCAGAAGTGGAGCAATTGGGACTTGAATAGGCACTCATATGGCATTCTGGCACCGCAGGTGGAGGCTTAGCCCATTACGCCACAGCACTGGCCCCAACTTGTTAACTTTTTTTAAGGATAGATTACCTGTATATACTCTTCTATTTTATTTTATTTTATTTTTAGATTTATTTATTTATTTATTGAAAGTTACAGAGAGGGAGAGGCAGAGAGAGAGGGAGGTCTTCCATCTGTTTGTTCACTCCCCAAGTGACCACAACGGCCAGGGCTGAGCCAACCTGAAGCCAGGAGCTTCAGGGTCTACCATGTGAATGGCAGGGGTGTAAGTACTTGGGCATCTTCTGCTTCTTTTCCCACACCATTAGCTGGGAGCTGGATCGGAAGTGGAGCAGCCAGGACTTGAACCGGTGCCCATATGGAATGCCGGAGTTGCAGGTAGTGGCTTTTTCTGCTATGCCACAACGCCAGTCTGCTGTATATACTTCTAGAAACAGATGAACTATATCCATGTAGTTAAAACAACTGGAAGTTTATTAAATGTGTGGATTGCTGTGGAACAAATGTTTCCACTGATTTTTAATTTAATTTTTTAATCAAAGTTAGTACCTTTGTGCAATCTAAATTTTAAGAGTACATCATGTACAACAAATGAGTCTTCTCTCACAGCCCTTAATGGAACTTACTCCTATTCTCTTATGACAAACACTTTGAAATATTTTTTAAACTGTGTGTTCTAGTATTTACCTTTATGTTTCTAAATTGTGTTTTTATACTATTTCTTTAATTTTCCATTTGAAATATCTATTGAATTTCTGTAGTGAGAGATGAAGTTTTAGCTCTATTGTTCCATCTTTCTTGCATGTCTTTCTCTTTCCTTGTTAGTCCTCATTGTTGAGCATTGTATTCACAGCTTTCCCCTAGATTTAAGAATTGCTTTGGGGCCAGCGCTGTGGCATAGCAGACAAAGCTGCCGATTGCAGTGCCAGCATCCCATATGGTTGCTGGTTCAATTTCTGGCTGTTCCACTTGCAGTCTGCCTTCCTGCTAATACACCTGGGAAAGCAGCAGAAGGTGGCCCAGGTTCTTAGGCCTCTGTACCCACATGGGAAACTAAGAGAAAGCTCTTGGCTCCTGGCTTTGGCCTGGCCTGGCCTGGCTCTGGCTGTTGTGCCATTTGGGGAGTGAACCAGCATATGGAAGACCTTTCTTTTTGTCTTCTCTCTTTCTCTGTAACTCTTGCCTTTCAAATAAATAAAATAAATCCGTCAAAAAAAAAAAAAAAAAAAAAAAGGAAAGAAAATCAGAGTCTCAAGATACAGCACAGATGGCCTGACTTTTTTTTTTTTTTTTTTTTTTTTTTAAGATTGATGGATTTATTTGAAAGAGTTAAACAGAGAGAGAGGAGAAGCAGGTCTTTCATCCACTGGTTCACTCCCCAGTTGGCAACAATGGCTGGAGCTGCACCGATCTGGAGCCGGGAGCCAGGAGCCTCTTCCAGGTCTCCCATGCGGGTGCAGGAACCCAAGAACCTGGGTCATCCTCCACTGCTTTCCCAGTCCACAGCAGAGAGCTGGATCAGAAGTGGAGCAGCTGGGACTCAAACCAGCACCCACATGGGATGGCTGCACTGCAGGGGGAAGTTCCACCTGCTATACCACAGTGCCAGCCCCAACAATGACTCTTAAAAAAATTTTTCTTTAGTTTTCTTCTTTTTTTTTTTGTTAATTTATTTGAAAGGCAAAGAGAGAGCTCTCATCTTCTAGTTCACTTCCCAAATACACTAGCTAGGATGAGGCAGGGCTAGGCAGAAGCCAGGAGCTAGGAATTCCATCCAGATGGCAGAAACCCAAGTACTTGGTACCACCAACTGCTTCCTCCCAGATGCACTAGTAGCAAGGTGTATTGGAAGTGTGGAATAGCTAGGGCTGGAACCAGACACTCTGATATGGGATGCGGGCATAGTGAGAGGTGACTTAACCTGCTGTACCACTGTGCCCACCCCAAGTTGACTTCTTTAAGTGCTTACTTATCTCATTACTCTACATTTAAACTGAAAATTACTTCTCAGTACTCAACACACTCAGGTAGTCTGTTGGTTTTTCCTTTTTTCCCCCTAGATAATGTGTTCCTGGAGTCTTTAATTGTGTTCTAATCGGAGCTATTTGTTTACTTCTGTGTCATGTGCTAGATCCTGTGTCATCTTCTTAACCCCTTTATAATTTTATTTTAGTGAAGTATATCCCTAAGGTAGTTTCATAAAAAAAGACTTTTCCTTAAAAAAAATTTTAAGCATTTTTTTAAACTGAGAAATATACATGCAGAAAAGTAGGGTGTAACAGATTGATTCAAAGTGAATTCCCCTGTAAATTACCAACCACTTAAATGCCTTTCCTTTTTTTTAATGCTAACCATATTCATAATTTCATGGTAGTCATATTCCTGTTTCTACTTATAGATTTAATATTTATTTATTTATATATCCTCTTGTGGTTTAGTTGTGTCTGTGTCTGAACATGATATAATTAGCATTACATTGGCTATGTTGTCTATATTGTTTTCCTCAGCATTGTGCCTGAGATCCATTCCTGTTATGTTATGTTACTGCAGTTCATTGACCTAATTGCCCTGAAGAATTCTGCTGTGTGAATCTGTTACTTTGTTGATCTGTTCTACTCTGGCCATTTGGGTTGCTTTTAGTTTTGAGCTTTTATAAACAGTGTTGCTATAAACATTCTTGTACAAGTCCTCTGGTGCCTTCTTGCAGTGGTTTCTCTAGGGTGTAAGCTATGCCATAAGCCAGGTCGTAGGATGTGTAAATGCAAAGATAGTTTTCCCAAGAGGTTATATCATGTTGCACTCTAATCAGCAGTGTATGCGTTTCTCAGTTGTGCCATATCTTTGCCAGTATCTGATATTGCCAAGTATTTTCTGTGTTAGTAAAGCTGGTGGATGTGGGATGTCATCTCATTGAGATTCTAACCTACATTTGCCTTATGATTTATGAGTTTGAATGCAGCAGTTTTGTATGTTTATGAACCACCTGGGTTTCTTTTTTCTGTGAAGTCTTTTTTTTTTTTTTAAGATTTATTTATTTATTTGAAAGTCGGAGTTACACAGAAAGAGGAGAGGCAGAGGCAGAGAGGGAAAGGTCTTCCATCTGCTGGTTCACTCCCCAATTGACTGCAACAGCTGGCGCTGCGCTGATCCGAAGCCAGGAGCCAGAGCTTCTTACGGGTCTCCCACGTGGGTGCGGGAGCCCAAGGACTTGGGCCATCTTCTACTACTTTCTTAGGCCATAGCAGAGAGCTGAATCAGAAGTGGAGCAGCTGGGAGTCGAACTGGCGCCCATATGAATTGCCAGCTCTGCAGGCCGTGGCTTTATCCACTACTACGCCACAGGGCCAGCCCCAAAGTCTCTTTTTAAATCTTCTTTCCATTTAAAAAAAAAAAAAAAAAAGGTAGTCTGTTCTTTTGTTATTTTGGATACCAGTTCTTTGTTTATGTTTGATAATTCCCTCCCTCATTTTTGTGACTCATTTTATTTTCACTGATTTTGTGATCTTTTTAAGAAAAGCATTTGTTATGGAAAATTCAGATATATACAGAAATAGATAGTATAATGAGCCCACGTGACTGAACAGTTATACACTGTGACTTAAGTTATATACTTGTTGTCTGTGTTCCCCACCTACTTTTCTTTTTCCTTCAGAATACAGACATTTTGTCATGTGATTTGTAAATATGTCTTAGTATCTATTTCCCAAAGATAAGGATTTTTATTTTAGAAACAAACAAAATAATGTTTTTATTTGAGAGGTAGAGAAAGCTACACGAGAGCACACATACTCCCTTCCATCTGGTTCACTCACCAAATGACCACAATTGTTGGGGCTGGGCCTGAAGCCAGGAATTAAGAGATCAGTCCATGTGGATGACAGGAACCCAGTTAACTTTAACCATCACTGCTGCCTACCAAGGTCAGCATTAGCAGGAAGTCAGAGTCAGGAGCTAGAACTCCGAGTGTTGAACCCAGGTACTCTGATGTGAAATGTTGGCATCTTAATTGCTAGGCTCAATGTCGGCTTATTTTTAGAATAATTTGTTTTTATCTAAAAACAGAAACACCACATCATTATCAAGTCTAAAACAGTAAACAATTCCTTAATGTAATCATAAATACCATAAATATTTTTTTTAATCTTTCATGTGTTAAATCAGGATTAAAATAAGGTTCACCCATTTGCAGTTGATTGCTAGTGTCTTATGTAAGTTGCTTATCCATCTCACTTTCAACTCCTAGGTTTTTTCTTGTTTTTAATTTGAAAAAACTACTAATTGTGTTCTGCCTCTGTTCTTTGTGTTTCAAGTAAATTTCTACTCAAGTTTATGAATTTGCTTACTGTTAAGTTCTTTTGTTGCTACAACTCCTAGATGGTAATGCAGTCTTATATTAGGGCATTCTTTCTTCAACCTACAATTTAGAAAGAATGGGTAAAATTTATTAATAGTTAATACAAACTTAAAATAATTCTCATTTGCATAAAAATACCCACATTTTGCAAAGTAGAAATAATAAGGCAGTGAGATTTCCAGTATCTGATATTGCCAAATATTTTCTGTGTTAGTAAAGCTGGTGGATGTGGGATGTCATCTCATTGAGATTCTAACCTACATTTGCCTTATGATCTATGAGAATGACATACAGTATTGGTAGGTTGTTTCTAGGAATTTGTACAACTGTATTGGAAAAGTTATTTTCAGAAGCACATTTTATAAGTGATATTTAGTGGAAGGCACGGAGTATATTGCAGTGCTGTCACCTAAGGTAGTTATTGATCTTTATCGTGGCGCTTTTACTTCATTTACTTTTGTGGTTCTAATAACTGCATGAGTAAACAGTGCGGGTGTTAGTCCCATTTTATGGTGAAGAAACTGAGGCTCTTTAGGGTACATAGGTGACACAGCTGTACGGAATGTGAAACTCAATGTCGCTCCCCCTCTTCGTGGAGGAGCGACACTAAACCCTGCCTAGGTTTCCTATCCGAGTCACGGCACCATTATGTCGCTCCCCGTCTTCATGGAGGAACGACACAGGACCCTGCGCTGTTCTTTTGTCTGCTCGGCCCTCCCCGGGTTTGCTGCTGGTTCTTCCCGGGTTGGCTACCGACCCTTCCACCTCGGAAGGGCAGTTCCCCCTAGCCACTTTCCCCACTTCCGCGGGGGAGCAGCACACCGCCGGCCAGCTCTCTCGGGGGCTGCACAGGTGTTCCCCTTAGATGTTCCTCTTAGATGTTCCCCTTAGATGTTCCTGGTGCATGTTGTCTCTCTCCTCCTTTATAGTCCTCTTCCACCAATCCCAACTCTGCTACCCACACGCGGAGTATGCTGCTCTCCTCCAATCAGGAGCAGGTCCTGCTGTTTATTGGTTGAACTGGAGGCAGCTGTGTAGAAGCTGTTACTCCCTTCTCAGCGCCATATTGTGGGAGAGCAGATGCATAGAATAAGTCTTAATTCCAGTAACTTAGTCTAGTCCGAGTTGCTCCCAGTTGCTCCCCACAACTCAACAGATCTCCAGAGCGATAGACAGAGACTAACCGTGGTCTCCAAAGTGTAGGAGCATTTTGGAATTTGGGGAGTGTGTGAGATTTTGGTATTTATCAAAATTGAGCGAGTTTTTAAATAGGCATCCCCTTTCATTCTCAACCTTCATTATTTTTAATCAACTAAAAAGGCTTTATTCCTTGTATCCAAGGAGTGAAATAGAATAATACATTATAGAAAAATGCCGAGCAAGGGCTGGTGCTGTGGCAGTGAGTTAAAGCCCCAGCCTGCAGCACCGCCATTCCAAGTGGGCACTGGTTTGAGTCCCGACTGCTCCACTTTCGATCCAGCTCCCTGCTAATGTGCCTAGAAAAGCAGCGGAGGATGGCCCAGGTCCTTGGGCTCCTGCACTCACGTGGGAGACCTGGAAGAAGCGCCTGGCTCCTCCTGACTTTGGATTATATCAGCTCATCTCTGGCCATTGCAGCCATTTGGGGAGTGAACCAGTGGATAGAAGACCTCTCTCTCTATTGCTACCTCTCTCTGTAACTCTTTGAAATAAAAACAAAAAACAAAAAAACAAAACAAAAAAAAGTGCCATGCAAAATAATTAGTTTAGGTTTGAAAAAGTTATATCTTAGTGTGGTTGTTTAGTGCAGGGGTTAGGACACTACTTGGAATGCCCACATCCCATGTTGAAATGCCTGGGTTTGAATCTTGGCTCAGCTTCTGCTTCTAGCTTCCTTTTAGTGCACCGCCTAAGAGGCTCAAGTAGTTGGATCCCTGCCACCTACATGAAAGATCCAGGTTGACTTCCTGACTCCTGGCTTCAGCCTGGTCCACTCCAGACCAGTGCTGGAATTTGGAGAGAACCAGAGATGGAAGATCTCTCATTGTCTTGCTGTCTGTATACCTTTTTTTTTTTTTTTAAATTTATTGTATTTATTTCAGTGACAGAGAAAAAGGCTTTCCATCCAATGGTTCACTCCTCAAATGGCCACAACACCCAGGGCTGGGTGAGGCTGAAGCCAGGAGCCAAGAACTCCATCCAAGTCTTCTACTTGGGTGGCAGGGGACTAGGTACTTGGGCCATCTTTGATTGCTTTCCAGGCACATTAACAGGGAGATGGCTTGGATACAGAGTAGCCAGGACTTAAACTGGCTTCAGTGTGGGCTGTCAGCATCACAAGTAGCAGCTTTACCTGCTGCGCCCAGGACTGGCCTCTGTCTCACTGCCTTTCAGAAAAAAAATAACAATAACAAAAAGGGTAGATCTTCAACTTTGAAGGCCAGAACAGTGTATTCCTTTAAATAAATGATTTGTTAAATCATAAAATTGCAAAGACTTTAGATGTCTGAGGGTTGTGTCTGTATTTTCAGCTAAAAACTCTGAGATTTTTTTAAAACTGAAAATTTGAGTTATTTACCTCATTTGACCAGGAGTATTACCTTCTACCTTATTTATCTATTACTGTTCATTTTCAATTTCTTATTTTTCCAACTTAACTATGGCTTATATTGCAGTTTAAAACCCTAAAGAATTATTTACTAAACTATTTATTTTCCAGGTCCCTAGAAGCCAAACGAAACTGACAATAATGCTTGAAAAACTAGGAATGGATTATGATGGGAGGCCTCACAGTGGTCTTGACGACTCTAAGAACATCGCCCGAATAGCTGTTCGAATGCTTCAGGATGGATGTGAACTCCGAATCAATGAGAAAATGCATGCAGGACAGCTAATGACTGTGTCCTCTTCCTTACCTATAGAGGGCGCTCCGGCTCCACAAATGCCACATTTTAGGAAGTAGCCGCATTTCTGACTGTGGCGCATTCTAATCTGAGCTGCTACCAAAGTAGCAGATGATTACTCCTTGAATCAGTCCTACAGTGCAAACTTTAAGCACCTTAAACATTTAAAATCTTGTTACAGTTATAGATGGCTATAGTTGTATATGTGAACAAATTTCGTGAGAGGGCATATTGAACTGTCACCAGCACTTTTAATATGAGCAGTGATTGTTACACAGTAACAGTTTCTGCTTTGAACTGAATTTTACAATTTAAGATGTCCAAGATGTGTTCCTTTTGGTTTTAAAATGCAAAATTTTATTGGCTCATACCTTGAATGTCATATTATTGATGTCAAAATACAGAATATATTTCTACATTAGCATCATTAAATAATTTCTTAAGATGCATAAAAGATTGGAAGATAGACCTTATCTGATCTTTGGATTTTGAGAATATCATGGTCCTTTTTTGAATTTTATATGAGAAATTCAACTACAGTTGTCCCACAGTATCCATGAGATTGGTTCCAAGACCTTTCATGGATACTAAAATCTGAGGATGTTCAAGTCCTTATAGAAATGGCATAATATTTGCATATGAGTATAACCTATACAATCTTCCTTATACTTTAAGTCATCTCTAGATCACTTATAATATCTAAAACAATGAAATGCTGTGTATGCTTAGGCAATAATGGCAAGAAAAAAATTCTGCACAGGCACAACCATGATAGGCACACAGACCAGAGGAACTAGATGTGAGGCAAACAATGCTTGAATGAGCGCTGGAATGAGACTAGGGATCTGAGAGAGAGTTGGAGGCCACAGTGGGTGTTGTTACTTTATTTGGGTGGATTTGGCTTGGTGCTGAATGTATAGCAAATTCAGGTTTTGCTTTTGGATTTTTTTCCTCCTGAATATTTTTAATATGCAGATGGTTAAATCTGGGTGTGAAGCCTATGGATACAGAGAGCCAACTGTATATGTGGTGAATTTCTTCCAGTACTTGATGTGCATATCTGCCTGTGTTTCTTTTCAACTCATGATTGGAAGACTTGTGATAGATTAGAGGATTTTGTTAGAGACTTAGTTGGCGATGAGATAAATACACAGTCAAAAGGCTGTTTAAAGGACTGTCGTAAATTCCGTAGCTCACGTTTGGTAATACGTAAATAAACCAGTAGGTTTTTTTTTTTTAATTATTTGATTGCTTGGTTCCCCTTTTCCTTATGACGTATCTGCCCAAATTTCTAAATGAAAGTATACTGTGCTTTTAATAAAATTAAGGGGCACCACTTAATTTTAAATTTGTATTCAGTATTACAGGTGAGGTCAATAAAATCAAATAATGCTTTCTATCATATCTTATGTTTTTATTAAAAACTCCGTTGGCCACTAGTGAAATTAATAAAGTGCTTGTTTGGTTTTGTATAGTATGTGGCCCCAAAAAACTGAAGTTAGTTTTTAACTAATTTTAAAAACCAAGTGTGTTTTGGAATTGATAATTTTTTTTTTTTTAAAGAGATTTATGTATTTGAAAAGCAGAGTTAAGAAAAAAGAGGGAGAGATAGATCTTGGTCACTCCCTAAATGTCCGCAATGGCTGGGACTGGACCAAGCTGAAACTTAGAGCCTGGAACTCCATCCAGGTCTCCCATATGAGTGTAGGAGCCTAAGAACTTAAGCCATCTTCTTGTGCTTTCCCAGGCACATTAGCAGGGAGTTGGATCAGAAGTGGAGCAGAGGCTGGCGCTGTGGCGTAGTGGATAAAGCCGAGGCCTGCTGTGGGCCTGCTGTGGTCTCCAGTTTGAGTCCTGGCTGCTCCACTTCTGATCCAGCTCTCTGCTATGGGTTGGGAAAGCAGTGGAAGATGACCCAAGTTCTCGGGCACCTGTACCCAGGTGGGAGACCTGGAAGAAGCTCCTGGCTTCAGATTGGCACAACTCCAGCTGTTGCGGCCATCTGGGGAATAAATCAGCAGATGGAACACTTTCTCTCTCTGCATCTCTGTAAGTCTGCTTTTCAAATAAATAAGTATTAAAAAAAAAAAAAAAACATGGAGCATCCAGGACTTGAATCAGCAGCCTATGGGATGGTGGCACTGCAAATAGCAGCTTAACTCACTATGCCACAATGCCAGTCCAGAGTTCATAAATTCTTATGTAGAGGCTGAAAATATGTATTTGTATCTTTGATTTTTACCTATATGCCATCAATTTGACAATCTCATTAACATTGCCTGCTTCTTTTAATTATATTATGATGCTACTTTATTTTAATGTTTTATATTGTCAAATGAATTTCCAACTCTGATACAGAGGAGAGAAGTACGTGTTTTTCTTGGCATGAAAATTCTCTATATAGGGCTGTAGGTTTCCTACATGAACCCATGAATTTCTGCCTTTGAGTACTGATTGTATAATCAGTCCAGATGACATATAGGTAAGAGAAGCCACAAGGGCATAGGATGTCCTTAGACATACTGTGTGGACTGTAGTAAAACAAAGCAGTCCGGGTGTTTCAGATGTATGCAGTAAACTCCTAGGGATGAGAGGGCTGTTTGGTGAGGTGTCTGTGAATCAGATGGCATATGCAGTGTAACGTGAAATATTATTGGAAGTTTTCCTTCTGTGAAGTCTGTGCCAGGGCAAAGAAGTAGAAAGTAGCCAGTCCCAGATGAAGGATGGATGCCAGGAGGTCTGGGCATGTTCCTTGGGTGATTTTTCCACACAGCTACCTTACTGTGGGATTCAGATCCATGCCCTAGCAAAACTGCAGTTGTCTCTCACTTGCAGAATTACTCATGAATAGCTGAAACCACAAGTGGAAAATCTGATGCTGACAAAGAAATACTACATTGTTCTCTTTTGTTAAGTCAGGCTACTAATTTCTTGGCTTGTCTGTCTTTTTGCAAGTACCCAAGTACTGGCAGAATCATTTCTTTTTAAGACCTTCAGTATTATAAGCTCTTAGCACTCTTTTGGCTCAACCAAGTTTACCTGACATTTCTTGAGCATTAGTAAAGCATTTTAATACCTTGTTTAATAAGCCTCATGTAGGAAAGAAGCATTATGTCCATTTTGCAGATGGAAAAATTGATGTACAGAGAGGATCACTTGGCCAGAATTGCGGGCAGTCTGACTTGAGCTTGGCATTTTAGCCCTGGTCTATTCTGTTTCCCCTTGTACATGGCAGCTCATTGCTATTAAAAAACACATGGGTTGTCCTGGGTAGTGTAAACCCCTTCCTATGTAGTGTAGAGGTGTTTAGTGTCTGGTTCACTAAATGTTATGTTCTGGGAAGTAGTTTGCTGTTCATTCTTGGAATGAAGCAAAATACTTTCACTTCAAGTGTAGCAGTGTCTATGGCTTTTGGAAATGGGCTAATTGGGGAAGGAAATGGATCCTTTGAAGTTTTTCCTTCTGGGGGACATATATTAAATTTTTATTTGACACTTAAATCAGGACAGCATGTCTAACAAAGCAATTACTCTTTCTCTAGCATTCTAGATTTTCTGAACTATACCACGGTAGTACATTATCTAGTTTTCCCAGTGTCTTGAATCTGTAATGTGGACAGAGGCCAAAAGGCTTAAGGTTAGCTGAGAAGAGGTTGAAGAGTAGATGCCATCACTTGATATTCCCTGAGGGATTGGTTCCAGAACACCTTCCTCCTCCAGGGATACCTAAAGGATGCTCAAGTCCCTTATATAAAACTACCTGCGCTCTGGTCTACTTCAAATCTCTGCCTTCTTTGAAATAAATGTTTAATGTAATGTAAGTGCTACACAAGTAGCTAGCTGTTAAACTGTATTTAGGGAATAATGACAGTGAAAAGTCCACATGTTTAGGACAGACACAATTTGTTTTTTTCCAGATATGTCCAATTCACATTAGATTGTTGGATTCTGACATGGAATGCTAACTGAATTCCTTTAGATTTTGTATCAAGACTTGGGTTTGGAGCTGGTGAGTCTGTTTTTGTCCTTCCAAATGAGTGTTCTCAAGATAAATTTCTTCATAGGATGAATTCTGATCAATCATTATGAAGTCATAATAGTACAATCAGTAACAAGTTGAGGATACAAGTTCTTTCCTCACTGCTTTGTTGGATAAGAACAAAATTGAAGAAAGCATATGATTTTCTCTTTGCTAGTGCAGTGTGCCACAGTATAGTTCATGTTGTCCAGTACTTCAGAGATGGTCCCTTCCCCTTCAAATGTCCATTCTTGCTGACCTTGTTTCTTTGAACATAAACCTGGTTTTTTTTTTCCCATTTGAATTTATTTTTGTCAGTGGGATTGATTATCATAGTTGCATAGACTTGAAATCATATGCTGTCCCCTTGCTCCCCTTTTTATTTAAGATAGTGCCCTTTGGTTATTGTCCAGTCACATTATCTTCTCCAGTCTGTGCTTTCATCCTTGCTACCCAGACTATTGCTAAAATCTGACTGTTTCCTCTTGCTCTCTCAGTGTGTTTTATGTTACCCTAATAGGATACCATAGACTGAGTAATTTGTAAAGAACAGGGATTTATTTTCAGAGTTCTGGAGGCCAGGAGGTCCCGTATGAGAGCCTTCTTGCTGCCAGATAAAGTGTCAGATGGCATATTGCATGAGAATACAAGAGAACATCAGCTCAGACCTGTCTGCCTCTCCTTACAGACACTGGTGTGCTTATGAGAGCCCCAACATCATGATCTCATCTAACCTTATTACCTCCCAAAGGCCTCACTTCCAAATGCCATCAGATGCGTATGAACCTGGAGATTGTTTCCAACATGTGACTTTGGAGGACATTCAAGCCATAGCACTTCCGCTTCCTGTAGGCTACTGTCAAGGAAGTCTTTCAAAATGTTGCTTTGCACATTGATCTCAGAAACCTTCCTACTTCTCGTGGCATGAAACTCAGCTCTGCATTGGAGTTTAAGACCCTCCACCCCTGGGCTCCAGCTACCTTCCGATTTTTAAAGTAGCTGTCTTCTCAGAGCTAATCACCATCCCCCTCTCTGTCAATCATGCATCAAACCTACACCATACTACTTCTGTTCCCAGGAAATTAGCCCATCAGTCTTGCTGTCTTGGATGTTTTTTGAAGATCCATTTTGATTCCAGCGTTCTTTCCAATTATGCTGACTTCTGGCAACAGAGCCCTCTGCTCTTTATACGTCTGTTAAGCTCATTGGGCCCCTAATTTGTACTTGGGGAGATTCGGAATTACTGTTTTCCTGTTTCTAGGAGTGCAAATTCTTCAGGTGTAGGTTCTTATATGTTGTAACCCTGAAATGTAACAGGTACTGAATGCTTGGTTAGGAAGTAATTAGTACTGATAAAATAGATTCCCTGAGATCAGTACTTTTTCCTGAAATTGTAAAGGGCAGAAAGTCTAAGACTTGATACTTAAGAGTTTCTGTTTGAGCAGAATTCCAAGTGTGAGTTGTCTCTTCTCATATTACTCGTGAATTTTTAGAAGCTCTAACTGAAATGTTTAATCCTGTATATGCTTGGCTTTCCCTCTAGGTGCCAGGAAAAGCACACAGATCTTGAGCACTGTTTCACAGTAGTCCATGCTACACATTGCTGATAAAAACTCCGCTCCTAGTATCTTTGGCCTTGAAAAGGTCATTGTTCACCTTCCCTCTTTCAAGAGCAGTGATTTTCAAACTGTTTTTGCATAAACACACACTCATATTTTAAAAATAGCGCTAAGAGGAAATTGTATTCTTTGGCACATTTGAAGTTGTTTCCAAGTTTAATTATTGGCCGAAGATAAACTATGTAGCATAATACTAACGTAGACATTTTAAGGCAAAACAGGCGTGGTTCTTTATATATCCAGTGGAGTCTAAATACCATAGAAAGTTATCCACTTACTAGAAAATGCAAAAAGATAATTAAAATTTTATATCTTTTCCTTTTTTACCTCAAACTTGTATTTCCATTGCAGTCTTCCCACAAGATTTCATCCCAATGTAATACAGCAAAACTCCATTCTAAGGTTTAGATGAAACCAAAAGAATTGAATTGTGAAAATATAGGCTCATATTATCGATGAATAATGGGGAGAAGAGGTATGTTTCACTTTGTCCTGTCACATAAGGAAGAAACATAAAGATGATGAAGCTTAGGACACAAACTGGCCATTCCCTAAACTTAGAAAGTCCCCATTGTTCACATCACAAGGTGTCACTGCCTGGCTACCCTCCTCCTTTCAGCCTCTTCCCTGTATCCCAGAGGAGCCTAGACTTCGAGCTCCTGTGTTTAAGAAGAGGGCTTGGTGGGCCAATTGCACTAGATCTGATTTTTTCCTTCTTGGAGTTTATTGTCAGGGTATTACTAAATATTTTTATGCCTGACAATCA